ACGAATGTGGCCAAGGAGTTTGTCGCATGGCTAGAGAAATACGGACCCGCATTAAAGAATTATGGCAAGGTAATTAGCGACGCATTCAGGCCGCTGCACGAAGCAGCCCAGGAGCTGATCAAGGGTGTGTTGCATTCAGTTGAGGAGCTGCTGGACGAGCTCAAAGAATATGTTGCCAAGTTGCCGACATTCGAGGCGCTGCGTAATGAGGTGGCCAACAAAATAAAGGAGTGGAAGCTCTTGGAGCGGACCTTGGAGACACTCAACAATATCTTTGACCAATTGAATATTCTGCCCCAAACTCCGGAAATAGCTGAATTATTGCAAAAGCTGCACGAATTCCTAGAAGCGAAGCTCAGACAGCAGCCGGTCGACGACGACAAATGGTTGAACGATTTATCCAAACTGTTACTGAGAGCCGTTCGTTCCGTTTTGGCCGCGCTCAACGGTAGCAAATCTGTTGAGAACGTTGCACTCTTTGGCGACTCATCTCTCAGTCTGTGGCCTTCGTCCCTTGATGGCTTTGCTAAGTTGCCATTGGTGCTGTCGTTCCGGTCGAGCGTTATCAACTTCCTGTTGAACGAAAACTGGGAGGGCATATTCAAGAAGGACCTCCTCTCCAACTGGCTATTCTTCCATGACTTTGAGCTGCATGGGCACATTGTGGATGGGCAGCATGTCTTCAGTTTCGACGGTCAGAGCTTTGCCTATCCCGGCAATTGCAAATACATCTTCGCACAGGATAGTGTGGACAAGAACTTCACGGTGATTGGCCAGCTGAATAACGGCAAACTAAAGGCCATAACGCTAATTGACCGCGATGGGAATTTCGTTGAGGTCAGCGATAATGTCGCCCTCAAAGTGAATGGAAAGCCTGTTGAATACCCACAACACCTCCCCGGCATTCACACGTGGCGCCGCTTCTACACGGTTCACATCCACTCGGAATATGGCGTCAGCGTAGTATGCACAACCGACCTGAAGGTGTGCCACGTCAATGTAAACGGATTCTACACAAGCAAGACCCGCGGCTTGCTGGGCAATGGCAACGCCGAGCCGTACGACGACTTACTGCTAATCGATGGCACCCTCGCGAGCGACTCGGCTGCTCTGGGCAACGACTACGCGGTCGGCAAGTGCAGCCCCGTGGCATTTGACAAGAGCCAGTTGGAAGGGCAACGCAATGACATATGTTCGGACATATTTGGCATCGACTCCCCGTTGGCCCTGCACTATTTGGCATTGGACGCTCGTCCTTATCGCAGCGCCTGCGACGTTGCCGTAGCAAGTGTACCTGAAAAGGACAGAGAATCGCTGGCCTGCACTTTCGCCCTAGCTTACGGGTCAGCCCTGAAACTGCAAAAGAAATGGGTGCTGCTGCCACCACGCTGCTTGAAATGCGCCGGTGCTGTGGGTCAGCGCGAACTGGGCGAAGAGTTCACCGTCAAAATCCCATCGAACAAAGCCGATGTCGTCTTTGTGGTGGACATCAATGTGTCGCCAACTGTGTTGGCCAACTTAATAGCTCCGGCAATCACCGACATTCGCGATTCGCTAAAGACCCGCGGATTCACCGACGTCCAAGTTGGCGTCATAGCTTTTGACGAGACGAAACGCTACCCTGCACTTCTAACTAGCGACAACGGCAAAATCAACTACAAAGGCAACGTGGCCAATGTTCAATTGAATGGACCGAACAATTTCTGTGAGAACTGTGCGGAACAAATCATAACCGAAAAGCGTATATTGGAGGTCTACAACATGCTGGAGCGCTTCATCAAATCCATTGTACCCCAATCCGATGAAAAAGCGTTCCACCTGGCCTTGGACTATCCGTTCCGCGCGGGTGCTGCCAAGAGCATAATTGGGGTCCGCAGTAATTCGCTTGAGTACAACAATTGGGTAATACATAATTTTTTTTCTTTGGTATATATGTGTATAGAAAAATTCTAATATATATGGGTATATTTTTATCTAGTGGAAATTCGTACGTGCTCAAATAACCGGAGCCACGACCAAATTCGACGGCGCTTTGCTCCACCTAATTGCACCAATCAAGGGACTCGCTGTAGAGGGTGTGCCAGCTGAAAAGCTAGTTGGTAGGTCTTTTCTCAAATATTGTGATCTGAGTAATGAAAGAAATTCTAAAGACTAAAATCCTTATTTCCAAAGGCTTCAATGCTCGCCTAGTCGCCACTCTGGATGGCAAGGACAATAAGAAACGCGCGAAACTGCAATTCGAAAATGATATGGGCATTGATTTCGTACTCAACAACGGCGGATGGGCATTCAACACACAAAACTTTGATAAACTAAAGGCAGGCGATCAGAAGAAATTGCTGAACCAGGTGACGTCCTCCATTGCGGATACACTCTTCAAAACGGAAACGGTCAGCGAGTGCCGCTGCCTGCCCGTGCACGGCCTGCATGGCCAGCACAAGTGCCAGATCAAATCGTCGACCTTTGTGCCCAACAAGAAACCCAAAGCGGCGTAAGGAGCAACCCCAAACATAACAATATTATATGCAATTTACATTAATTAAATAAAAAGAAATGAAGCAAAATAAACTCTAAACTCTTTCAATATAAAATATATACACACATTTAATATAAGAATACATGAACTCAACCCTTTATATTCCCACAGCACATATATTTGGTTTTGCAAATTTATGACCCACGTCCAGCCCACTTGTTAACATATTTGAAAATGGCATCAAATTGATCAGATATGCGCCAGCGTTCAGCGAATAATAAGACTAACTGTATAACACACCAGTTAGCAGATTGTGCTCTGTTATCCCAGCTGAAACCTGGCGGGCGGTTATTACAAAATCGAAAACTGAGAATGATTATGAGTATTACTTCTAATAAAACATAAATTCTGCCAGAAGCAGATCTACAGCTTTGAAAATAGATTAAAGTGTAAGAATTGCTTCCTTTTCATAAAATGTTATAGGCGCGCTCACCAATTTCTGAAATAGTGACGTTACGCTGTTAACAAAACACTGTTGTATGGCACTGTTCTCTGGTCAGTGTCAGTGTGTATGGTTAGTGATGGTATAGTCGACAATTATTTTCTAAGAGTTATCGATAATGCCATATAGCTGGTGAGTAGTACCACTGACCAGAGAACACATGGACCGGACACGTAGTGTAAAGCGTTTTGCACACTTTTTTTTCGAAGGTTAGCACCCCCCACGATTGAGTGATAGTAGGTTATGCAAAGCGAACAGCTGATTTGACAGCGTGACGTCATTATTTCAGAAAGTGGTGGGCGCGCGTTTGAATTTGTAGTTTTGACACTGTTATTTGTCTTTAAACTAGTAGACTAAATAAAACGAGCTGGGCGGCTAATCACATTTTCTATATAGATTCACGAATCGGAAAATATAAAGGTTTTTGCTCACTTTTATACTCTAAATTGTTTTCTAAGCAGTTATTGATCATGCAATCCCTTGACCACTTTTACTTTTGCATATAATGGATTTAACCTTACTATCTAAGGCTTGAATTTGTAAAACTAAAGAGTTACTACTAAGTAT